AACGCCTCGAAAAAAAAATATGCTTTGAAAAGAGAGGGAGAGCTAATTTAGGGACAACGACTTCTCTGGCCTGGCCAGAAATCTCTGCTTCTTGGGCCCCCGACGGCCTGGGGTGCCCCCAGCACCCCACAAAACCGGCCAGCCCCAGGACACATCCCTGCCTCCGCCCGACAGGAGAGCAGAATGCAACTTTCCCCCTTGTTTAATGACAGAAATTACATTAAAAGTGGTGGAAATGCCCTAATTAAAAATGTACCGCTTAAATGATATGCCAGACGTTCAGCTGCAGAATAGCGTATTTAGCTAGTTAGTGAACTCGCTACTATTTCTTTTAAAATTACATGTTAAAATTTTAAAAGAAATCTTACTTTTCTCTGGTGCAACACATTACAAAGAATGGACAGTCCTTTTATCTAAATATAAAATTCCATTTTCAGCAATTATAGCCTGTTCTTGGTGATGATATAATTACAGCTGTGCTCAGTAATAGGTGTCAAGGCAATGCACACTCATACAATAGTTGAATAAAACTGCAGAACAATGCAGGCACTTCTAAATTCACAACCTTTAAAATGAAATTGACTGTGCAGAATTCAAATAAAAACTGGATAAATATTTTTTAAAAAAGATTACAAGCTTGGTTTGGTTTCTTAATAGCATTTTCTGCAAACCTATCAACATCTAATTGATTAGATAGGAATTACTGATTATAGATAATCTGAAATACTGAACATCACTATTTTAAATATAGCAATAGGTAAATAATTGCAGCAGACAGAGGAGACTGCCGTGGCACCTCAGCAGCGATTCACGGAAAGAATCACTTTCAGGGGAAAGTATTTTTATGAGGGTTTTATTCCAGAGGAAAAACAAAATGAAATTAAGACCAGGCAATTGTAATTCCTCATCTCCGATGTTTACGATAACGCTGGAAACTGAAATGTTTCTGCGTTGCCCGTATCATTAGCACAACGTTGCTTTGATACCCGAGACGTGTTTCAGGGAGGGTGTCAGCAAACATGGCCGAACTTGTTTCCAAGCACGTTATTCCTCCGATAGGGATCTCCAAACAAGGGTACCTGCCTCTCACTTCCCCACTCTTGGTTCCGCAGATGGCTGTCCGCAACAGGAGGGAGGAGGGGAAAACACTAACTCCATCAGCTCCAACGGAGAAGATTCAGATGAGGCCCAAATGAGACTCCAGCTGAAAAGAAAGCTGCAGAGAAATAGGACATCCTTTACCCAAGAGCAAATCGAAGCCCTTGAGAAAGGTGAGTGACATTTTCCTATGGTCGGAGCAGGAGAGAAAAGCAAAATGTGCCCTGGCTGTATTAAAAACTGAACAGAAGCATGGCATTCACGTGCCTTATATATGTATATATTTTAAGTCTGTGGCTCTCTCCACGCTCTTTCATTCACTGAGCTCCAAATACTCATGGATGGCTGCGATGTGTACCGAAAAAGCTGTTAAAGGGTTTTCAGAGGGAATGTACTCAGGGTGCAGATCACATTGAAACAGCGGTGTTACACCCCGGGCTCCCCTCACAGGGGATAAATCTCCTCCTGCCGAGTGTGCCGTGTGGCTGGACGGCCTCGCCGTACGCCGGGAAGGCCAAGGCAGGCATCTGGGGCTGGCAGCATCCTCCTGTGCCTGCCCCCACGCTCCATCCCCATCCCCAGCGCTGCCGCTGCCCGGGGCTGGGAGCAGGTGCCCTTTTCCCCGACCAGCCCGGGTGTACCTCCCCTCTGACCCGCCGAGCATCTCCTCTTCTTATTTTCCGCTCTTATTTAGCGACGTGCCATTTCGCTTCTCGGTGACAGGGTCAGAGCTGCCTTGGGAGGTGAGTGACATTTTCCTATGGTCGGAGCAGGAGAGAAAAGCAAAATGTGCCCTGGCTGTATTAAAAACTGAACAGAAGCATGGCATTCACGTGCCTTATATATGTATATATTTTAGCAGGAGAGAAAAGCAAAATGTGCCCTGGCTGTATTAAAAAGCAGGAGAGAAAAGCAAAATGTGCCCTGGCTATATTATTAAAAGCTGAACAGAAGCATGGCATTCACGTGCCTTATATATGTATATATTTTAAGTCTGTGGCTCTCTCCACGCTCTTTCATTCACTGAGCTCCAAATACTCATGGATGGCTGCGATGTGTACCGAAAAAGCTGTTAAAGGGTTTATATGTGTATATATATATATATGTGTATATGTGAGTCTGTGGCTCTCTCCACGCTCTTTCATTCACTGAGCTCCAAATACTCATGGATGGCTGCGATGTGTACCGAAAAAGCTGTTAAAGGGTTTTCAGAGGGAATGTACTCAGGGTGCAGATCACATTGAAACAGCGGTGTTACACCCCGGGCTCCCCTCACAGGGGATAAATCTCCTCCTGCCGAGTGTGCCGTGTGGCTGGACGGCCTCGCCGTACGCCGGGAAGGCCAAGGCAGGCATCTGGGGCTGGCAGCATCCTCCTGTGCCTGCCCCCACGCTCCATCCCCATCCCCAGCGCTGCCGCTGCCCGGGGCTGGGAGCAGGTGCCCTTTTCCCCGACCAGCCCGGGTGTACCTCCCCTCTGACCCGCCGAGCATCTCCTCTTCTTATTTTCCGCTCTTATTTAGCGACGTGCCATTTCGCTTCTCGGTGACAGGGTCAGAGCTGCCTTGGGGACCCCCTCGGCGGAGGCAAAAGCCCTCACTGCTTCTTGAAAGATGTAGCATCGCACCCGAGCCTGCCTGTCCCCTGAGCCATATTCCCCAGCAGGCAAGGCATCCTCCTTCCTAACACACACTCACACACACACACACACACACGCAGAGAAAGCTCGGTTTTGCCGTTCCAGCCATGTTTCTGAAGAGTGTGTAGAGCACAGGCAGAGCAGGAACAACTCTGATTTTGCAGTTGGCCACGTTAACTCTTTGCAACTAACGCCACACCGCTTCCTTCTGCAGAATTTGAGAGGACTCACTACCCCGATGTGTTTGCAAGAGAGAGACTAGCTGCTAAAATAGACCTGCCTGAAGCAAGGATACAGGTACTGAGACGCTGTGCAATTATGACTATGATTATTTTCGCTATCACTATTCTGATTTTGTTGTTCCTGGCTTCTGAAAGCACAGGGCAGCCCCCTTTTATGATCAGGGTATTTGTCCATCTCCTCCTTCAGGCCAATAACAGCAGCTGGGTTGAGAGCCAGCTTTCTATCAGCCCAACCTTGAGTTATGCGGGGGAGGTAGGTCCTCGGAAGCTCATTCACGTCTCTCTCAAACGCTGTATTTTCAGGTGTGGTTTTCTAACAGAAGGGCCAAGTGGAGAAGGGAAGAGAAGCTGAGGAACCAGCGAAGACAAGCCAGCAACACTCCCAGCCACATTCCCATCAGTAGTAGTTTCAGCACAAGCGTTTACCAGCCGATCCCACAACCGACCACCCCCGGTAATGCCACCAACCCGCTCCTGCTCCTCCATCCTCTTGGGGAAAAACGAGTGTATCTCAGAGTGTATCGCCAATTGCAATTGCGGTTAAACTAATGTGTCCATCTATCTGTCTATTCTATTATAGTTTCCTCTTTCACATCAGGTTCCATGTTGGGCAGGACGGACACGGCGCTCACAAACACGTACAGCGCGCTGCCGCCCATGCCTAGCTTCACCATGGCCAACAACCTGCCTATGCAAGTAAGTCCAGCGCTACCGCCGTGGCACCCTGCTCCCTCGGGACTCGGTGGCCCCATGGGACATGCGGGAGCATGGGTGGGGGATCTTCCCCCACAGGATGGGGGGGGGTTACAGACACAAACTGTGCTGCAGGGAAACCAGCACCAAAGGCTTCCCCAGCATCTCAAAAGATGCCCCGTTTGGAAGAGTCATAAGGGCAAGGGCACTGTAAGTCCCGGTGCTCAACAAACTCCCTTTCCTGAATTTTAAAAGAGAAAGGTCTTCAAAATTACACAAATCTGGGATGAAAAAACCCTTTTTGGACCCCCACCCCTGTGGTTAACCTATGGAACTCACCGGTGCAGTATTATGGAAATTGCTGCCCGAATAAGCTGCTGGAGGGATCTGACCTTCTTGGCGTAGGTGATGTGGCGACGGCGCATTAGGAACACCTGAGAGAGGGAAGGATGTGATTAGCATCAGTGGTTATGCCAGCTAAGCCAGAATTGCAAGAGCTGTCAATCCTCATGCCTGAAAGCATTAGCTGATCACCAGCTGGGTTAGGAAGAAATCTATTCCTTTGGGGTCTGTTTCTATAGACCTTTCAGATGCAAAATTCCTCCTTTTTTAATGGTGGGGTTGGCCTAGGAAGGTGCTGGCCAATTACGGGAGTTTTAGAGCTTTGTCTGAGGCACACAGCATTGACCACTGCTGGAGACAGGCGAGCAGATTAGAGAGCCTGACTCCTTCGCTGCGGCAATTACTATGTTACTAATTGCTGAACCAAAATTAACCAAATAAAGTTAGAGTCTCCCAAGTCCGCAGAAAGAAATGACGTTGGCTAGGTCGCCGTTTCGTGACGTCGGAGGCCGGTGGCGCCGTTCCTGGCAGCGGGCTGAGAGCAGGGGACAAAAGATCAAAGGGGTGATACAGGAGGGGAACCCTTGGGAAAGCAGCAGGACCCCCCCAGCTCCACTACCAGGCACCTGGAGAGGGACCTGGCACGTGTGGGCTGCTCTAGAAAGTCCTGCCTACGTGGCCAACCGTGGCGTGATGGCCACGCGATGCTGGAGCAGGAGATTTGGCAGCGGGACCATCGGCATCTCCCTGTGGATGCAGGGCGCGTTGCTGGTTCCCTCAGAGCACACAGCGTGTGTGTCTGCTTCGCTGACAAGGCTGTCAGTATTTTCGGAGGCGGCGTGTATTGGGGATGTGCAAGCAGAGGAAATATGTGCAGACATGTCAAGTCTCGTGTGCTCGGAGCAGGAATTACTCATCCTGCTTCCCCCCTGCCTCCTCATGCTGAGGCTGCACCGTTCCCTGCCCCTCTGGCACTCCGGAGCTGGAGATGCCCCTACTTTGTCCCTGGTAGGGTGCCGTCCCTCAACCCCTGCCCCCAGCTGCTCTTCCCCCTGGCAGATGGGGCTTTAGGGGTTGGTCTTTAGATAAATGGAGATGTCTGGTCTCCCGGAGATGCTGCTGGCATGGGTTTGGGGTGACTGAGGCTCCGAAGGGGGATCAACACAACGTACGTGTGCGTTGATCCCCCCTCAGAGCCTCGGTCACTCCAAATCCACACATTATCTGTGCATATGTGCAGATGCAGGACCAGGTCGTGTGCCTTAGTAGAGTAATTTTTAGTTTCACCACTATTAGTTTTTAGTTAAGCCAGCAAATGTCAGATAAGATGTCAGCCCTGCTCCGTCTCTCTGTTGCTGCAAATGGCAGGAGACATCTTTTTTCTACATAAGCGCAAACAAGGGCTTTGGTTCCTTGGTCTAGGCGTGTAACACCCTTGTTAGCATCTAGATGTAGAGAATCTGCTCGCCAAGTGCATTGGAAAAGGCATTGGTGACTCTCCACCTCGTTTCTGTGGACCAAAAACCCTTGGGAAGAGGCTGCTTGGTTGAGCTTCTAAATAGGGCTTTACATCTTGGTCCTTGAATTTGAAACTGAAGCTCATTTTTGCTTGTGCTCACTGCTCCTGAGGGGTGGCCCATCCACCCAGAAGAGCGTAACGTCGTGTTTACCTCAGTCAATACTTAACACTGCTTTGTCCTTTGCTTCCGTAGCCCCCGGTACCCAGCCAGACCTCCTCCTACTCTTGCATGCTGCCCACCAGTCCATCGGTGAATGGACGGAGCTATGATACATATACCCCTCCTCACATGCAGACACACATGAACAGCCAGCCGATGGGCACCTCTGGCACCACTTCCACAGGTGAGTGGCCCTGTGCTCCCTCCCCTTTTTTTGCCAGCCGGTTTTTCCTCACTGCATTTGCTGGGAGAAGTCTCTCCCTGTCGCTGGGAGAGGTCTCTCCATCAGGTTTAGTACCTGTCGAACTGGGCAGAAGGTGGAAATGGACACCCTTGCAGGCTAGAGCAGAAAGTCAGCCGCCTTTCGTCTACCCCTCCGGCGGCAAGCCTCCCCTTTTTTTGCCAGCCGGTTTTTCCTCACTGCATTTGCTGGGAGAAGTCTCTCCCTGTCGCTGGGAGAGGTCTCTCCATCAGGTTTAGTACCTGTCGAACTGGGCAGAAGGTGGAAATGGATACCCTTGCAGGCTAGAGCAGAAAGCCGCCTTTCGTCTACCCCTCCAGCGGCGGCTGAAAAATCAGGCTGAGAGAAGGTGGCGTTTGAATAGTGGAACAGTGCAAAGCTCTTCAGTGAGGTCCCAATCCCTCAAAATCTTCCCTGGATAATTAAATTCTAAAGCAGCATTTATTGCACTGTTACATTTCAGCGGTGATACCCACCCCTGTGAAGTTAAGTGTACACAAGAGTGCCCACAGGACTGGGCATGTTTTCATCATGTCTGTGTCAGGGGACGTTTTTTTTGCTAAAGATTTGAAGTTATTGAAAAGGCAGGAATCCTGTAGAAATATTAACCTATGCATGAGAAGGGAAAACAGGGTAAAAAAGGGTAAGTGTCAGCATAATCAGGGGCAAGCCAGACACATTTTAAGAGAAATGAAATGTTCAGTGTATTTTGGGCTGAATTCCCAACTGATCCAAATGAGCTGAGGCTTTGGCATTTATCTCCAAGTCTGACAGTGTATTTATAACAACAAATCACTGAGATGTGCACAGGTTTTTAAAATATACCACCTCTCCCCACCCGCCCCCCAAATTGATTCTGCAGCCTGGTAGATGTTGAGATTTAATACTTACCACAATACAAGCACAAATCTGTGAAACTGTAAAGCAAAAACTGTGCTACGTATAGAAAAACTAAAATATCCATTTCCCCCCTCAATTTTCAGGTCTCATTTCCCCTGGAGTGTCAGTTCCAGTCCAAGTTCCTGGCAGTGAACCTGATATGTCTCAATACTGGCCAAGATTACAGTAAAACATGTGTTAATTCTGTAAATGACTATTTGGACAACAGTTGGATGTTCAGCAGTATTTTCTAAAGGAAGAATGGCTCTCAGAGTACTTCTGTACTGCAACTGTGCCCTATGCTGTAACACATGGAAAAGACTTTCACATGGACCTTTGTACACTGAAGGCATTATATCAGTTGGAACAAATCTTCATTTTGGTATCCAAACTTTTATTCATTTTGGTGTATTATTTGTAAATGGGCATTTGTATGTTATAATGAAAAAAAAAAAAAAGAACAATGTAGACTGGATGGATGTTTGATCTGTGTTGGTCATGAAGTTGTTTTAAAAAAAAAAAAAAGAAAAGGAAAAAAAAAAAAAAGAAGCCATGATCAACAAGCTTTGCCACGAATTTAAGAGTTTTATCAAGATATATCGAATACTTCTACCAATCTGTTCATAGATTATGGATTGATGTTCCAAGTTTGTATCATTCCATTGCATATAATTAAACCTGGAACAATACGCACTAGATTTATGTAAGAAAAATATCTGTTGGTATTTCCAAAGGTTGTTAACGGCTGAAGCTATGTGCAAACAGGGGTTAAGAGAGAACTTCAATGAAGAAAAGAGTTTGATAGATAAAAGGTAGATTGTGTCTTCGATATAATCCAATTTGTTTTATGTCGAAATGTAAGTATTTGTCTTCCCTAGAAATCTCCCAGAATGATTTCTATAATAAAGTTAATTTCATTTATATTTGACAAGAATATTCTATAGATGTTTTATACACATTTTCATGCATCATACGTTTCTTTTTGGTCGGCAAGAGTTAATTGTTCTTAGATATAGTTGTACTACTGTTCACAGTCCAATCATTTTTGTGCATCTAGAATTCATTCCTAATCAATTAAAAGTGCTTGCAAGAGTTTTAAACTTAAGTGTTTTGAAGTTGTTCACAACTACATATCAAAATTAACCATTGTTGATTGTAAAAACCATGCCAAAGCCTTTGTATTTCCTTTATTATACTATTTTCTTTTTAACCTTATAGTGTGGTGTTGCAAATTTTGTTACTGTGTTAGGCTAATCTCATTAAGTTTTATTTTGAATTTATTTTCAGTTTTCGCTAAGGAGGGATTCTCAAGAAACATTTTTATAGACTTTCAGCACTTTCACCAGCCTGTAATTTGGGCTAACAAAAAGAAGATAGGTTCACGTATCTAATTGCAGCTGAGAGCAGGAGGAGGTTGTTTATTTAGCTTGGGTTTCTGGGGATGCTCTAAATGAACTCCAGAATCCAGCAGAATTTCCAGCGGGGAGTTTGCATCGTGCCAGTCGGTGGCAGAGACGCGATGCACGCCTGTGTCTATCTCTTGTAATTATACATAAAGTACGTATAGACACACATAGACACAAATATACATCCCTGACTTATAAAAATTGTTTTTGTTAGGATGCTTAAAAAGAAAAAAAACCACCCAACCAACCAAACCCCAACCAGCTGTGTTTTTTACAGGCTCTTTGGGAGAGTGAATACCATCCCTTTATATTGCCACACAGCACAATCTTAGTGTAATTTTCCATTGAACTTGTAACCTGGTTAATACCTCAATGCGCTTTGTGTGAGGGTTGTTAGTGTGGGCGTGGGTGGAGAGCTGCATGTCAAGGAATAATGAGAGAAGACAAATCAACAGGCAACAACAATGTGAGCTGGGACTGGCTAGTGAAAGCGAAAGGCCTTTAGTCACTGGCAGGGAAATCTAAACATTCCCATATCTATGAAGCTGGCTCATTGTGGTGCCGTTGTTACTGGCGATGCCGTGCTGAAAAAGCGATCTGATGATTAAAAAGCCAACGCGCGGGGAGTTTCGAACCAAAGCGCAGGCATCACAAGCAGCCTTTGTGAAGCACAGATACCATCTAGGCTGGTTGTGTTTTCCTCTCGGCGTGTTTGTCACCGCAGATAACACTTCCCCGCCAACTCGGAGCAGCAGAGCCCTGGTGCTGAGGTAGCGGCGATGCTGCAGACGAGATTAAAGGCACGTAAACTCTGCATCCTTTAGGGACAAAGAGCAGCCTCGCTCAAAGAACGCCAGGAGAGTTAATAAAATCAAGAGCCCCAAGCAAGCAAAAATGTGCAAAAACATTCGATCGAAATCTTTCTTTTTAATTGATACTGGTCAGTTGTAAGTATATTCTTTATACCAGCATCGAGTAGTTTTAATTACCTGGAAGCTGCCCGTTGGCAAATATTAATGAAACATGGATTTTTATTTTTATTTTTTAAATGATATATCTTTTTCTCAGAGATGAACATGCACATTATGTATTTATAAAACAGGGATAGATCGCATTAAACACCACAACAGGCAGGTCCCTTCTCGCATAGCTGAATCGATTCTGGGAGCAATTAATTACAGGTACCAACCCAGCATTTATACAGCCACTTAGCGTGTTTATACCTACTAATGTAGTTTGTTATCTAAATGCCAACTTCTGCTTGACCAGGAATGGAAACGAGCTCCCCATCCCTTCCTCCTCCGAGAGCTTTTGTGCCACAGTTGCTGTTCCTGCAGGTGCCAATGTGCTGGCAGAGGCAGCTCCCGGTAGCTCTTCCCCGTCCTTCCCAGGTTTTCCAGGTCTTGCAGCTCCACTGCCTGCGGTTCCAGCCGCTGGTGGCCTCCATGGAGGCATCACCAGCCCTCTGTGTCCCCTCTGAAGCCTTCTTCAGGGTGGGCTGCAGCCCCTCACCCACCGCGCTTGCAGCCGTGTGCCTGGATGAACCTCCAGCTTATTTCGGTGACAGGCCGCGGCGGAGAGGAGACGTTTCTGGCTCACTGGCTTCTTATTGTGCCCTGTGGAAGGAGGTCGGTCGGTGGGGAGAAGTCCCCGGCTGGCTGCACAGCGGGGAGAAGCCAGGGCATTCGGTCCCCAGAGCGTTGTTGGCCTGGAGGAGCTGCTGCCCGGTATGCTGGGGGCTCCGGGCGGCCTTGCACGGCATGGGTGCATCCACGGCCTTTTCCTCCAGTTGGGGTGGAGGGGGCCCCAATCCTGAGCACCGGTGCCAGCTCCTGGTTGTTTGCTGTGGGTCAGGAGAGACCCCCAGAGCATCCCCGGTGCCCACCCGGCCTCGGAGCGCCGCTGCCATCGGCTCCGTGGGGAGGTGCTGCCTGGCCACCAGCCCACTCCGGTGGGAAGGGACCACCTTCAGCAGGTGCTGAGCAGCCTCCAACACCCTTTTTCACCCCCTTCCTTCTTCTCAGGAAGCCTGAAACCTGCCATAATGTATAGCCCAGCAGAACCACCGCTGTTTCCAAGGGTCTCTGCTTTTTACTGCTGAAATTAGTGGGGAGCCTTGCTATTGACTCCAACGGGAATGAAACATTTCTGTGCATTTGGTTAAAATGTATTTCATAATAACACCTTATACTTTATTTATAAGCCCCTCCTAAGGCATTTCACAAATTATAGTCACACGAGAATTGATGTGTGAGCGCCGTCTTAATAACACTGTATTTTGTGTTTCAAATACTGTGTTCTGGATACAATATTTACATTTACAAGTGAAAAGGCTGCTAACCTAACAGTTATTGTTCAGAGCAGACAGCTGATGAGCCATACATGCTGATGGTGAAGCAGACATGCATGCGGCGACACACACACGTTGGGATCGCCTCATGCCACGGCGCAGACAGAGCTTTTAATTGTTTTTAAAAGGTAAGCACGAGTCAGCCTGTGCCCTGCTCCAGGAGCCTGAAAGAGCCTGCGACCCAGGCTGTAATGCAGAAAGGGGATTTCGCCACTTCTTTTTAGCTAGGTTTTTATTTATAAAGTGAGCAAAACACCCCCGTGGGCTGGTTGACTTTAGGCAGCCTAACATGGGATTTATCTTTGGGGGCAAGATTACAGTTGCAAAGAACAACCTGGGACTGTTAACATGCCTCACCTCCCCCAGGCTTTCCAGCTATTGGTAGTCCTATTTCATTCACTTTCCATGGCCAAAGCTGTCTGGCTTTTGGTTTTTGGTTTTTTTTTTTTTTTTTAATTGATTTTTTTTCTGGTATTACTGACAAAAACGTATTATCTCATTTTCTCTGGGTAGTATGTGCAGGTTTAGAGTTATGCTAAGGTTTAAATCTGTTCTGCATTTCCACGTCATAAACAGCACCAGGAAAACTGAAAATGTATCATTCCTTTTTCTTATTTTTTTCTCTTTGTTTCCATTTGCTCTTGTCCTCAGCTTCAGCAGCTGAACATAGCTCCACATGCAGCTGGTAAGGCTCTTCTGCTCTGGGGATGGTGTAGAGCCTTCTTTTTGATTAACTCTTCTTTGACAAGACACCTGCTTCCTTAATGAGCTCCTGCATCCCTGTTTCTAATCAAAAGTGTGATTGGCACCTCCAAATACCCAAATACAACACACCTTTTCCCCTAGAAACAGGCATAGGAATGACAGAGGTGAGAGTAGAGTCTGTGGTGGTGGTTGGGTCTTCTTCAGGTGGTGGGAATTGACATGTCTCGCTGTGCAGAGAAGGTAGTGCTGTGAGCGTGTCTGGCTGAAGGGTGCGGGGTCCTCTTGAAGCCCCTGTGGCATGGTAGGGGCAGAAGAAAAGGCATCCTCCTTTTTTGGGTGCAAAACAAAGCACGGAATGCAGCTCCCTTTGGATTACTGCTGGAGAACGATGTCAGGTAAGTCTCTCACGCGTGTTATCTGTTTAGTAGTTCTTAGAGAAGATGGTAGAGGATGGAGCAATCCGCATGAGATGCGTGGTAGTAAAGATAGTACGGTTTGGATAGGAGCCAGGTCGGCGAGTTCTTTAGAATGTATTCTAAATTAATGCCTCTCTTAATAATCACTTAGATGTAAAGAAAGAAAAAAAACAAAGTATCAGCAGACAGTTCCTTAGGGTAGCTTACTATCCTAAGAGAGTTTTCAATAGCAATTGTGTGGAAGATGAAGGTTTTTTATTGGGGCTGCAGAAAGGAAACCTCAAAGGAATGAAACCATTTCATCGGGCATTTAACGTGTACAGCCAACACCTGTGACAGATTTTCATCAAATCTCCAGTTGCCAGAATCCCTGTTGTTCCTTTTGAGGATGGCCCTTCTGAGAGGAGCCCTCATGAAACCTGCTTTCCCTCAAGTTTCATTGAGAACCTCTGATGACTATGTTTTATCACGCTGAGAATTTCAGGGCCTTCTGTACTGTTCCCTTCTTCCTCTAGTAATATCCCTGGGTGAGATGATCGTGACTTTGAAGGGGGTGAAGGGGAAAACACATGTCTGGTGCTGGTGGGCTGTGTCCTGGAGCTGCTTGTCCCCACACAGGACCAGGATACTAAGGTTTTTGCTGGGCTAGCAGGTCTATGGTTTCTCAGAGCCTGGAGCCTGACCTCCTAAGTCGAATCGCAGCTGGGTCAGGTGGTGAGCAGAGGTTTTGTGAGTGACCCAGGAGGATCCTTGTTACCTTCAGGTGCCTGACAGGAGCTGTAAGTCGCATGAAATCCTCCAGCAGAGGTTGCAATTGCCTCCAGGCACCTGACAGACCTCACGTACGCTCCAGCAGCTAAAATCGGTGAGGGTTGCGAATTGCAGTTCTCCCTCTCCCGGGACATACGAGCTTTTCCAGCTGCACCAGAGGAGTTTGTAGATTCACAGATAACCCCCTTCAGGTCAGGCCTACGCTGATAGAGTTTGAGAAGTTTATGAACAGTTATTCCATGGAAATTTTGTATAGGGCAACAGAAGGGCTCTGGTTTACCTGGAACTGCATACAGCAGATAGACACCTTTAGGTTGTTACAATAAATACGTTAACTTATCACAAGCGAAGAAAATTTATATTTCTCCCTGTAACTGTTTATATTTTACCCCTTACATTTCTCTCTGCAAAGTTGGATTCATATTCAGAGTCTGTAGTCTGCAGCTTTGTGT